AAACTATTAAACCTAAAAATCTAGTTCGAGCAAGAACAAGTATCTTGTGTTGTTGGCTTTAATCTTGTGTTGTTGGCTTTAATTGTTAAGCTTGACCTTAAATCTGAAAAGCATTACTCCAGCACCATCATTTGCCGTCTTTCTACATAAAGTCAAAAGATTTTAATTGTTTATAAATTTCTTTAACATTACGTTTAGTTAGAGGAGACAAGAGGGCGACAGGGGATACGGTATCCTTTCATTGCTATCATTTGTCTTTATTTCCCTCGCCTCCCTTCTCTTACTTAGATAATCTTCTTCCTTTCCAAATTTTTTTTTAATCAAATAAATTTTTTTTTTATCACTCCCCTTTCTTTTTTTCAAATCCAATATATTATAAGGATTAGTTGATTATTTCTACAAAGTACAAGGGATTTTAGTTTTCATCAATCCAAAATAAAAATAATAAATAAATAAATAAAGTGCAATTGATTTATTTATCTTTTAAAGGCAATAATTTCTGGGGCCCAATCATCATAAAAAGTTAGTCATCTAAACGCTCATACAAAATTGTTTGATTTTTTTTTCTAATAATGAAAATTTGTTTTTCCAATAAATAAACAAGTACGATTAATAAAATTAACCCTCTTAAGTGGGGTCACCTCCTTTGTTTGTGTAGTGTTTATCTCACATTGTTGAGTTAAGTAACATATATTAGATTTTACGTAACTTTAGATTAATTAATTTTAGAGTTATAACGTGTTCTATTTTTATATTATTTTAATATTGTTAAAAAAAAAGTAGGATTAATAAGAAAATATTTATATAGCTGTAATAGTTCTAATACTATCAAAAAAATAGGCATTTGGGTTTTTGGGCTCAATGATGTCAGGTCACGTGTAAGTACATTCTTGCACTCTCAAAACAACAGTTTGAATCCAACCCTTTTTGATTTTTTTCAAAAAAATAATTAGCGAATATGAGAGTTCAAGAAGACTCTCACAGAAAACAATAAAATCAACAATAGAACTATTCCCTAGTTTAGCAAGATAATTAGCTGCCTCATTAACTTCGTGATAAATATGAGAGATCCAATTGTCAATTATCTGCTTCATCAGCTGCCGACAATCAAAATCAAAACACCAAAACACCAAGTGTATAAGTGATATTTTAGATCAACAAAATCTAAAATGAAATTTCGCAACTTTTAAGATTTATTTGGTATATCAGTTAAAATTTAATGGATAATAAGTGGTAAGTAATAAATAATAGATAGCGATAGTGGGTAACGAATGATAAATAATAGATAATAGATAATGGATTTGATTAATATAATTATTTGGTTATATAATAATTAATTAGTGATTGTTATTTAATGCTAAATAACTAATACAGACTTATTTAGAAATAATTAAGTGTATTTTTTTATATATATTTTTTATTATTAAAATTATTAATTTTATAAAAATAATAATAATAAAATAAATTATAATAG